ACTGTAAATCGTCCCTTGAAAGACTTTGCTGGATGTGAAAGAGCAGAATTCACAGTAAATTAATAAAAGGGGTTTTTGTCGGGGTAAGGAGTTTGCTTCAGGCTCTTGGGAAGCCTAAGTCAGAACACCTCCAAGGGCCTCCCCCATCCCTGAGGCACCCAGTGCTCTACATAGTCCCCCACACATTTAACAATTGCACTGGGGATGTATGGATCATTAGGTGAAACGGTTCATTTAATACCATTGCAACATGCGACTATAATGGGGAGGCTCAATGACATCTCAAGGACTTCCTGTGTATCTTGAAAATAGCTTCAACATAGCTGGTACATGCTATACATCTTACCAGTATGTCTAGTGCGTCTCTCCCAATGTCTCACTGTTTTATAAGCATAGCCTATGTGTCAGACTTACATGTTATGAACTGTACAATTTTGTACAAATACTGTAAAATATAGAACCAGTAAGCTGATGTAAATTGTAGTGCTTGTATTGTTAAGAACTTTGACACATTAATATTCTGTAAAAAGGATACTGGGAATGACAGCTACCCAAGTCATTATGGAGAGAAATAATCTTGTGTGACATACACACGGGGTGCTCCATCGTGGACGTGATTTGTAAGAGATAATTGTCTGAAGAAGAATGTAGAGAGCACCAGAGACAAAAGCCAAAAGAGCTCCCCCATCATGGACAGCAGGAACTGCTAATTCCTGAAAAGACAATTGAAAAGCATTGTATATTATTAGAGTTGTAATCAATGTTACCTAAAAGGTTGTAATCAGTGAGAAAATAAGTGTAGTCAAACTAGCAGTATTAGAAAGGTCTTTTTATTATTATAAAGAACCTAATATACAGTAGTCCTTGACTTACAACAACAATTCCAATATTTCTATAAGCTGTTGTGGTGATAAGTTGAGATCGAGCCTATTTTATGACAATTTTTATAGAGGTTGTTAAGTGAATCATGCAGTAGTTAAGTGAATACCGAGGTCATTAGGCAAATCCAGACTCCCTAATGGACATTTTAGGTTGGAAATCAGCAAAAAAAAAAAAAAGGTCGCAAATCACAATGACCAGAGGACGCTGCTATCAGTCATAAATATAAGCCAGTTGTCAAGCATTCCAATTGCAAACATGTGGTGGTTGTGAGGATGAAGCGAGGGTTGTAAATACAAATACAGATCATAAGCCATGGTACTTACAACCAGTCCTCAAAGTTACGGCAGTTGCAGAGCCTTGCCATCATGTGATCAAAATTCAGTTACTTGGCAACCTATTTGCAACCACATGGGGAGCTTCAACTTCCCCCCTACCCACCTGTCTCCCCCACATCTCTGCCCTTTTGGCTGCTCTGCTTTCCATCACTCCTGCCAATCTCTCGCTAACCTGCCATCTCTTCCTCCTCCTGCTGAGAGACATGCCTGGCCAAGGCAGCTGCTGGCCCTTTAGAACCACTGTGGAGGCCTTATAAAGGCCATCTACTGCCTTGGCTAGGCACTCCTCAGCAGCAGTGGACAATGATGTTGGTCAGCTATCGACGGTAGGAGTAGACAGTGTGACAAAGTATAGGGCAGCTAGTAGGAGCTAGTAGGGCAGGGCAGTGGAGCCTCATCTGCTGAAGGGAGCTCCCTGAGCCCAGGTGGGAAGGAGGCTGTTGTCGTGGCCCACCAGCAGTCAGTGGAGCTTGGAGCAGAGTCGGACAGTGGGGAGGTTGGGGAGGAGCATGGGCCAGTCCTGGAAGGCTTGGACAAGGACTCTGCATCGGAGGCAGAGACGGGGCCGAGGCCATCTAGCAGTGATCAGGTGCCTATGGAGCTAGACAGCAGTGAGGCAGAGGAACAGCTGGAACCTGTTCCCAGTGTGCGCAAGCGCAGAGCTGCCAGAA